TTATCGATTAATTTCATACTTTCAATACTTTTTACAATACCTTTCAAATGTATTTGCATAAAATAATATAGCAATTTTTACAGCGAAATTGGCTTATAATTATATACACATTGATAATATTTTTTGCTAGCCTTAATTCTTGATCTGGAGTAAAATTAGTATCTAATATTTTTCAGGTTAGTATTTGTATAGAAATAACAATTTTAAATACTGATTATTAAATTCAAAAATCCAGGTTTTTTGAATTCTTAAATATTAATGTATTAAATAAAATCAGATTTATTAAAGTTTAATTATCCTTTGAAATAAATTAACTTTAGTATTACACTTTTGCAGTTTTGGGATTCATGTTGTAAATTTTTTTGTATTATTTTTTAATATACTATATTCAGATTAGCATTACAAGAACCGTAATAACTGCTGTTTAAATGATGTATGAATTTTGAAAAGTCATTGATTTAGACAAAAAATAATCTTGTTAACTTTAATAAACATACCTTTTGAGTATACAGGCAATTAAGTCTAATAATCTTATCGTCATGGATACACTATTTAATTTTTATTTGCATCATGTTTTTGATAATATTAAAGAAATGCTTGAAATTTCGATTAAGTTACAAAATAAGAAATGCAGCCAGAATTGGATTATAAAAAAGATTAATTAGATTTTTCTAATTTGATTACTATTTGTTTATCTTTAAAATTCTTGTTATAACAATACATACTAATAGGGGATGAATTGTCAAATTGAGCTGAGGTATTAATGAATATGGTTTTTCATTTTTTTTAAATTGAATCATTCAATTTTTAGATAAAATACTTTCTATTATTTTAGCCATTACAATTAATTTTAACTTATGGGGTTATGTTAATCTAGAGCTTTATTATTATAGTCTTTCTTCTAAATATACTCATTTGCTTTTAGCTTAGCCAGAAATTTATTTTGTAATAAAATATGTAAACTATTTTAAGAGATTTAACAATCAGAATTGCCCAGTTAATTGTGAATCATCAATAGTAAGTATTATACTTATTAAAATTTAATATCTCTGGCCTATTCTATTTTAAGGTCTGATTATCCTTACTTTCAAAATTATTAATTAAAACAAAATCACTACAATCATTTTTGGGATATTATTAGAAACAATTATTTAATTTTCAAATGAGATGACCAATCTCTCTTATTTAAAATACAAATTATATTACTCTTATAAAAAATTATTAAGATATTTCTAAATGCAAACTTTCTTATTCATATTTTATACATTATCACATATAAGAATAGTTAAAATGGTATTTTTAATAATTCATATATCAATAAATTTGAAATTTTCTAATATAAGGCACAGGTTCATTTTAGGCAGCATTGTTTATATTTATTTAAAAAATAATTTTATTAGTGTAAATTATTCTAGATACTGTAATAGAACTATTTAAGTAAAATACTAAGTAAAAAGATTATGGATAGCTTACATGAAAGAAATATTACATTTTTTCTCAAATTTTATTTAGGTTGAGAACAGTAACAATAACAATATAATTCAAATTAGTAAAGATTTTTATTTGATATTAAAGATATAAAATCACTTAATTTTTCATTCTTACATTTATTAAGATATCAAAATACTTATTGATTGTGATGCTCTAATCTCTTAAAATAAATATGAGGATTATATATTTTTCTTATAGACAAATACATGCTTATTTTTTAACTTAAGATTTTAAAATTATTTAAATATATTATATTTTATAATTAAAATTATGATGGATTATAGATTGGATATTTTATTTTGATAATATTTTAGCTTATTAACAGGATTATTAAAGTCAAATTTCATTATAAATAATATTAGGCCTTACTTCATAGAAATAAATTAATTATTCTTTTATCTTTTTCTGTTCTAAAAATTA